TTGGCAAGTAAGTGCATCAGACAAGACTTGATCATTAAAGCAACAATCTTCTTGGATTCTCATTGCACTTCAACTGAAGCCTATGCACAGGAAGTCAAATTTGTTAGACAGAATAGTGGTCATTATACTCCAATGTACCTTTTCCATGTATTTACCATTTTCCAAACTTTATAATCATCTATGGAGTCTCGCCATTTGCGGACTACCATCCTATTAATAAAATTTGAGCCTTTATCCAATTCTTTGTAATTCTTATTTTATTCTGCTTACAAATATTTCATTTATTATTGATAATAATTTTTTTTTTTAAAAAGAGACTTAAATAATAAAACATGTTTTTTGAAAATAATTTTCAAAATAACTTTTTCACTTCAATTTTGTGAAATAATGGAACAAAAGTAGTGGTTCCAAGGATAGACGAACTCAGAAGTTTTGAAAAGTTTTATCCGTGAATTATTCTCAGGATACTCTTGCTGACATGCGCATAGTCTCCCTACGGTTGTTCTTTGGATAGTTGGATTCCATCGAAGATTGTTATATGGTGTTGGCTTGGTGGTGGTTTGATACCTCTCTCCCATATTCCCCAGTTAAGTCTTAATTCGAATTTCTCCAACTGAGTGTGATTCCTCTTCCCCAGTAGGGTGGTGATCAAGCAGATATTGTAAAGTGGTGTGGCATATGTTTAGTTGTTGAATTATTTCTCCCTTTTTGTTGAGAATTGATGTAGAATCTCCTGCGGGATTTTAATCTTCGCCAGTTATGACAGTATTGCTTTTATGTGCCCTTCAAGTAGCCAGACAAGGGCAATTTTTTTCTAAGAAGTATTGAGACGGCTGTCAATTTTTTAGGTTTTCTCTCGCCACGTGTTGAGTTTGATTTAAAATCCCCATAATTTTGACTTCTTACTGTGATGTTAACTTCTTAATTTCCTCGGATGAATCGAAGGTGACGTTTTCCTTTGAGATTTTTATCCCTGTGAACTTTTCTGTGGTAATCCCCATGAAGTTTCTTTGACCTTCCATATAGAAGTTTTTGCAACCACTATTCTTGGTATTGGAGAATGTTTGTGGTCTTCCTTCAGTAGATGTGATGTAGCATCGTCTTCCCTAGTGAAGTATGTATGATATTCCCTGGTGAAGCATGGAGGAGTTTAGTATATCCTTGTAGCTTTATCAGTTTATTGTTATCATATTGTACTTTGATTATTTTCAAGAAATGTTTCTTCCTTGTGAAGTTAAGCCTTGAAGTATGACTTTGTTTCCTTAGTTGGTTCTTACTCTCTCATGGAATTCCCTCTCTTGGATGCCTTTTTAGTCAAGTATTGTCTATCCCCAAGTTTGTTTTGTATGGTTCTCCCTCAGTGTTGTATGTTTGTTTCTCCACCAGTGCCATAATGATATCATTCATACATTCATGCATATATTATGCATAGCTTAATTAAAATTCATTTGCTCATTTACATTCATTGATGTTTCTGTTGATATTTTAGCCTCTTTGCAGAGTTGTGTTGTCCTCTCTCCAATAGAATGTCAACCTTAAGAAGAAAGTATATATCCTTTCAATTTCCCCACTGAGCTTATTCCTCATGGAAGAATTTTGCTTTATCCTTCCTACCATGCTCATTACCTTGATGAAATTAATCCCCATTTGAGTTTCATTCCTCATTGGGTGGTATCTTGGTTGACTGTTTCACTCTGGTCTACCTCTGGTTTGAATTTTTTTCCCCGACAGCTATGTTATCCTAATCTCTCTAGGATGTGAAACCTAGATTGATAATGTGCATTTCCTTTGCACGTGAGGACTTTATCTTCTCAGCAGGAATATGTTGGTCTTTCCCAAGGAAGTCTAAATTCATTTCCCAGCAGTGTTATTGTAATCCTTCTCGTTACAGCAAGCGACAATCTCTTTAATTAAGTAACCTCTAGTTCCCCAGTAAGTATGTTAGTTCCCAAAGAAGATTATTTTGATGTACTCTATTGGATGGTAGTCTCTTTTCTATGAGAGATAGTTTGTTTCTGAGGTTCTACTCTGATGGATGGTAATCTCTTTATTAAGGGAGATAGTTTATTGTTGATATTTGATTTACTCCAATGGATGGTAGTCTCTTCATTATGGGAGATAGCTCGTTGTCGAGATTGGCTGTACTTCAATGATAGAGACAATTCGTTGAAAGATTCTTACACAAATTTATTACCCTTTTCAGGTGGAATGCCTCGGTTAAAAAAGAAGTTAATACCCGTTCTAGGTGGAATGCCAGAATTTTGGGAAACTTGTTATTGTTAACACATATTCCTACCTTGAGTGGAAGTCGGTAGTTCACCTCTAGTGAAAGTGGGTGTATCCTTTGCTTGCAACTTCCAGTGGATGTTGGTAGCTCACCTTCAGTAAATGTTGGTGTATCTTTTGAATCTCTACTTTCAACGAAAGTTGATAGTTCATCTTCGATGAAAGTCGGGGTACCCTGTCGGTCGTTCACTATTGTTAGTCTATTAGACCTTTGATAGTATGGTTTTCGGTCTTCTCTTTTTGTTTACCATCGTTAGTCTATCAAATCATTGATAGTATGCCATTCAATCTTATACCCTTCGGTCGTTCATCATTGTTAGTCTATCAAACCTTTGATAGTATGGTGTTCAGTTCACTTCTTGTTTGTTTACTATCATTAGTCTACCATACAGTTGATAGTATGGTATTCAATCTTATACCCTTCGGTCGTTCATCATCATTAGTCTATCAGATCTTTGATAGTATGGTGTTCAACTGCTTCTTGTTTGTTTACCATCATTAGTCTATCAGGCCTTTGATAGTATGTTATTCAATCTTATACCCTTTGGTTATTCATCATCATTAGTCTATCAGACCTTTGATAGTATGGTGTTCAATCCACTTCTTGTTGGTTACCATCGTCAGTCTATCAAACCTTTGATAGTATGGTATTCAATCTTATGTCCTTGTGGTCGTTCATCATCGTTAGTCTATCAGACCTTTGATAGTATATTGTTAAGTCCACTTCTGGTTGGTTACCATCGTTAGTCTACCAGAACTTTGATAGTATGGTATTCAATCTTATATCCTTGTTGTCGTTCATTATCGTTAGTCTATCAGACCTTTAATAGTATAGTGTTTGGTCCATTTCTTGTTGTTTACCATTGTTAGTCTATCAAACCTTTGATAGTATGGTACTCACCTCCTGTGACATATACTGCCCATTTAGGCTTCCGTCCTCGATATGGGTTGTATCCCCTTCTCCTCATTGGACTTTACCCCAATAGAGTTGAGCTATTACAAGTTTCAGTACTAATTCATTTCTTTCTCCAGTCTCAGTACTGATGTTTATCGTCATCTCTGAGTCAGTATTATCTTTCTTTCTTACCTTCAACTCTGATTTGGTAGCTTATCGTCATTCCTGAGTGAGTATTATATTTCCTTCCTACTTTTAATTTTGAGTTGGTACTTTATCGTCATCCTTGAGTCGGTATTATCTTTTTCTACCTTCATTATTCAGGTTGGTAATTTACTATCCCCTATGAGTCGGTATTGCTCTCTTTTTCCTACCTCCTTTGTGAGTTGGTAGTTCACAGTATTTTATTAATCGGTGTGTTCCATTTCTTTTTCCTCATTTATCAAGTTGATGTTACATTATTTCCTCTTTGGGCTTTACCCCAATAGAGTTGAGTTTCTTTCCCCAGTGAAGTTGATATTCCTTCAATGCAGTTGATTTTCTTTCCCCCGTCGAGTTTGGAACCCCTTCTTAAAGAATTACCTCCTTGTTGGCTTGTTGCTTGCATTATTAAGGATTTAACCATTAAAATTCTTACTTTGCATTTTGTCTCTTTAACTGTGATGTTAGCTTGGCCTATTCATAGTTATCTCCAGAGTTGTGTTGTTCCCAGTGATTTGTTGTCCTGGTTGAGCTCTCTTTTTTAGTTTGTTTATATTATTTTTGCTTTTCCCAGTGGTGTCTTGTTTCCCCTGTAGAGTTCGTCTTTTACATTCATAATCATAAGCATTGTATGGAATCTCAGGGCCAAAAATAAGGTTTAATTTATATTTAAGTATCTTCAATCGCATCGAGACGAAGATTTTAACCTTCGTATCTCCGAATAGAAGACACTTAAATTAAGGCAGCTGTTATACATCAATTTTTCCCCCTAATATCTGTTGTACCCCAAAATTTTCCCTCTTAATTTCTCTTAGGTTTTTGCATTCATCTTCATAGCATACATTCGCATTTCCATAAAACGCCTGAGGTTCAAAGTTAAATGGGTGTACAAGTTAGGGTTTCACGGTAGTTTGAAATGTACATATCAAATAAGTTTGATTCTTCTGGTTCTTCAAACAGTGAAGCATGGAATTAGGGATTCATTGAAGATGCACGTTGATTGGAATTTTTTCATTGATATATGAGGCAGATTTGAGTTCAAAAATAATCAAAGTGAATTGAACGTTCTTAAGCATTTGTGTGGATTTCTTGGAATTTAAGTAATATATCATATTCATTTAAAGTTTCCAAAATTCAAAGTTCCAAATATCATCACTCATGGCCTTATGCATCCATTCATATTCATCGTCCATTCATTCAAGGTCCACACATCATTGTGTTCATCATCATTATGCCAGTTCAATTTTCAAGTGAACAAGAATCAATGTCATTCTTCATCTTCCAATATTCATCATTCAAGTCCATGCAAGGTTCGTTCAAAAGTTTCATTAAGAGTTAAAATCATTCAAAAGGTTATCTCACTTTGAAATTTCCATCACAAGAACATTACATCAAGGAAAGTTTGAAATCCAAAGTTTATCCAGACAGTGTTCATTCAAAATTCATCATTCATCATTATCATTTGATAAAAGTCTACAAGATGTCGAGATACATTCATATGTTCATACAAGATTACAAAAAATAAATCTATGCTAAACCTAATCATAAAGCTTCATCATGAGGACATTCCTTCAAGTAATCAATATCCAAAACTCTAAAGTTGCTGCTAAAATGAAACATGATGCCCGGATTCGCATTGCCTTGCACCAGTCTTAATAAAACCAAAATCAATACAGACGCTAAACAGCCCTGCATTTTTTCAATCAAACAGCTCATCATTTCATCTAACACCATACAACCAATTCAATTCATAAGCCAAAAACCGACTGAAGCAATTAGCTTAGAGTTAATTATCACTGTCCATATTTGAAGGATTCATCAGTGTAAATGCAAGTCACATACATCACAGTTTTTCAGAATAAGGAAAAAGCAAATACAACCATGCTAAGTTCAGTTCAATATTCATATAAAATGCAAGTTACGGTTCAAGTCAAAAGCAACCTACTGACTTTACCTTCTAAATATCCAAAACAGAATTGAATTCATCAAATTAGAACCAGGTTTACACTATGCCATTAACAGAAATTCAGAGTAAAACAGAGAAGATATAAAAAGGCAACAAGGAAACCAGAAAACACCAGATAGAAATCAAACAATGAACTCAAACTCCAGCTCATCCTAACAGAATTTCAAAGTCCCTAACTAACTCTCTAACTTCCAACGCCAGCTCATACTAACTATTTCCTGTCATAACAGAATATAAAGAGAAAAAACGTACTAGAATTATTCATTATTCAATTCTTTGAAGAATCATAGAACAAAGTCTCTCGTCTTCTCTCTGCTCTCTTCTTCCATCTTCAACCGCAAACTCTCTCTGTAACTGGCTTTCCTCTGCAGAACCTTCATCACCATTGATTCTTCAGCCTTCATCTGCAATAAACAATAGCATATTCATCTTCAATCCTTCTTCAATCTCTGCAGAATCACCAAAAACGAAAAGTTGTCTCTCTGCTCTCTCTTCTCTGCACAAACTCTCTGAATCCAGAACCTCACAAATCCCTGTCAATGTTTCAATCTTCAGCTTCTTTGATAAGCCTCATCTTCTCAATAAATCTCAACATACTGCAACCCGCGCGTCCAATTTCATTACACAGCTGCATCCATGTCACTTCATACTAGCGTCGCAAACCTAGAACCTGCGGCAATCATTTTGATTCGTGCATCAAAGAAAACGCAATAACACAGTAGAAGAAGAAAAAGATAGAGTAGAAGAAGCAGAGATCAAACAAAGATGGAAACCGAAGAAAACTCAAGAATTCAGAGAATAGGAAAAATAGAGCTCACCAAGGACTTAAGGCGCTCCCCGGAGTTCGACATTAGTGTCGCTGTCGATGTAAGTGTTTCTCCCTCTTCTTGATACAGACATGTAGTTCTCATTCCCCCTGGATCTTCTCCCATGGCTTTAGTTCGAACAGAGTAATCTGCGTCGTTCAATTAAAGCTTAGAAACTGTTAGGGTTTCCGATTTAGAGTGACATTGCAAGATATTAGAAGAATCTGAAGCTAGGTTTGTATGTGGGGTTCAATGTGGATGAGATTCCATGGTCGAAATGATGGTGGCTGATCATTGATATTCTCCAGAGAATGAGACGCGCCATTTTTGCAATGAGGAAGAAGAAGATAATCTGCTTTATGAAGTCCAAAAGCCACTTCTCCTAACCCTAACCAGACTCTCTAAAATGGCACCGTATCAATTCATCTCTGTTTAATATTTTCATTTTATTATCATTTTAAATTGAAGAAAGTCATAAGGTGAATAAATCTGTTGGAAATTGGATGGTAGTGGAGGTTAAATTCGTTGGGCCTTTCTGTTTAGAATTTTATTATTGAGCTCATATCACTTGGTTTTTGAAGGCTGAAACAATGTCAACAAAAACAGACTTCTTGGACTCATGCAGATTGGGCCTAGCGCCCTGACTTTGCACCATCAGATTTCTCCAACGCTCTTGGATTTTAGCTTGCACCCCGCAAAGCCCATAATAATTGATTATTTTTGGGGCCTGGTTGCTTGTGACAAAAAAAGCTGATTGGATCCTGATTTGACTGGGCCTAGCACCCAGATTGCTCCTACACCCCTGGGTTGTTGGCTTGCACCCCCTGAGTTTATTCTTTTAGTATTTTCTTTTAAATGATTTTTTTATCTATTTAGTTTTGTTAGAACTTTTTCTTCACACGATAAAAATAATAAAATCAAATATAAAAATTTGTTATATTTTTATTTGGTTTTTTTGGGAATTAAATCAGGATTATCCATTATTTGAGATTTGTAATTCACCTTTGCTTGTTGAGATCTGAATCTTATGCAGGTTTATTGTGCGATAAGCGGATATGCTTGAGATTTTGATTGTGATTTATTTTCACATCAATGATGCTTCGATACTTATCCCGAGCATTTGATTTCTGACTCTTTTCTTTCCTTGGTGATGCTTACTCAAAGTTTTCCGGGTTTCTCAGTTTTTTCTCGCGATGCTACAAACTTTTGTTCGTTTGGGTATTTTCTCTCGTCTTTCTCATTTCAGTATTTTGTCGATTTCTAGAGATCATATATAGTAGGGGCATTTATCGCTTTCTAGAAATCATGTGAAGTAGGAAGCAGGGAATAAAGAGTGTGTGCTCGAAGTATCTGTTTAAAGTCCTATAGCAGGCACCTTTTATGTATGCTATTTGTGTTTGTTTAAAATCCTTCCTTTGAAGCAGGTATTATGCATGCGTGTTTACTCTTGTTCCCGCATTATACTACAGATGATAAGTCCTTAAAAGGAGGCAAGCGGGGAGGGTCCATAATCGACCCCCTCGCATTCTAGTCTGTTTCATCCTTAGCTCATGTTGTACGTTGATGCTTTAGAGTTGTGAAGATCTTGTATATTGATTCCGTCAAGTGGGGTAGGGTTTTGCAATCAAACCCCTACGCTTTGTCAGGATTCGCATTGGTCGATGCTGACACTCTATGAACGTTCATATTGTCTTCTATCGCCTACCTATATCTTCTATATCTTGGTTATGTGTTCAGTCGCTTTGGACGTCACATTTTTTATTTCATCTGTCTCCCGCTTGTTTGCTTCGAGTGATACGCTTCTCTTAGCTAAAGCATTTCTCTTTTTTTCCCATATCCCTTTGAGTCAGTATATGCTACTCATGTTTGTGTGCTTTTTCCAAAGCACTTGTTTGCTTATTTGTTTGCTATGCCATGTTCCCTTAGAATTGCTCGATTAGAGTAGATTTCGAGCTAGACATTAGGATAGGAGTCCATGCATGCTAACATAGGTTAGAGATTTCCCTTTCAAAACTAATACATTTCCCTCGCGTAACAGACTCCCTTACCCGATCTGTCAGTCGTTTTATCGTGAGTTCACACTTCTTAGTTTTACTCGATGTTTATCTTTCCCTTCATGTGGGATAAAAAATGTCTGATGGCGACTTCATTGATTTCATTATCAATTGATTATTCAGCCAGTTGTTTCAGCTGGCGACTTCACTGAGGACGGTTGACCTATTGTTGGTCAATCCTGAAGTCGATCCTAGCTCTTGTTTTATTTTCTTCGGGTGTTTATTTTAATGCTTTTAGTTTATTCATTTGTCCATGGTTATCTGAGCATATGTTTGCATCGCATCTTTAGTGTCTCCTACATACTGTTGTTGTGCAGGTTTTCGTGTTTCTTTGATTGGATGGGTCATACTATAAGGTAAAAGGCCCAATAGCCAGGCCAAGTGACAAACAATAGGAACAATAGGAATAGAGTGGAACACAACGGATAGGGGATGTAGATTACCCTAGATGGTTGTGTCGTTGATAACACTAAAACAAACTGCATATTTGACTCAGATTGCACATGTTTGTTAGGGTTTTTATTGTCATTTTCTTGTGTTATGCTTGTTTTTGTTTTGTTTTAAGGTAATTTGATTATCTAGACCCCCTCTTGAAGAAATGAAGAAAAAACGAGCAAGAAATCAAGTTTTTGAATAAAGTGTACACATGGCATCCAACATGGCGCCTGCCATAGGGTAGGCCATGACATGGATTGGTTTCAACTGCCTTCAACTGACATGTACCTTAACTTCTCACCCTTGTACACATGGCGGGCGCCATAGGGGCATGGCAGGCGCCACCCTTGTTAAATGGTGTCCCACCAAAAAGGAGTTGGGGGGGGGGGCACCTTGGTAATTCCATGGAGTATGGTTCTTCTATAAATAGGAGGTTCTAGTTTCTTTTTCTTCTCATCCAAGCTTAGTTACAAACTTAAGCCATATACTTTCAGATTTTGTAAGTGATAATCCTTGCATATCGAAGAGTTATCACATCATTGATAGAGTCTTTAATCGAGTTTAGAGAACTTTGGTAGAAGTTAATCCTGCCGCCATTTTCATTTCCAGTCGCATTTATTTCCAATTGTACCTGATTTAAAGCCTCTGATTTGTAGCAGGTTTTTATTTACATGTCTCGTTTTACTTTATTTATTTCATCGCACTCGCTTTACTTTATTTATTTCATCGCACTCGCTTTACTTTATTTATTTCATCACACTCGCTTTACTTTGTTTATTTCCTTGTCTTGCACTTATTTACTTGTTTATTTACTTGTCTTTTAAAGCCTTTTTACTTTAAGAATCTACTTTAACATGATCTATTTTAACATGTATGTTTACATTTTCATGTCTGACTAAATTTTAAAGGTTAGAATTTACGGATCATAGTTAAAGTAATGTTCCATATAATGTGTCTGTAGAAATACTTAAGGACTATTTAGGTTTTTAACACAAGTTTTTTGTGCTTTATTTTTGTTGGGTAAGATCGAAAGTCGTCCAACCTTCAGTTAAACTTGGGTAGTTTTATTTGTTCAAAGGAAGCAAAAGTGCTTTGTTCAATTAAGTAGGAATCTTTTAACACTTTTAGAAAAACGATTTCAAAAGTCTTTTCGGACGCGTTTATTGGTTTAAAGGTCTAGTCCTATTTTGGTTAGAAGTTCCAAGTCAAAAATACTTTTCAACTAAGTCAAGAAACTATATTTCTTAAAAATAGGTTAATTACTTTAATGCAATGCGCACCTTTTTATAAGTGACAATAAGAGGGATTGATTAAAGAATAAACTCAGTTCTGAATACGCGAAAGCGACTGTTCCTGTTAAATTAGTTATTTTCATGAGTAGAAAATATTTCCCAATAAGTAGTTCAATTTAGAAGCATTTGGAATATTACCAGATTGTGTGAATTACATTCAATCTTGTTGTTTTTATCTGAATTTATATCTTTGTACTTTACTTTCATTGTGTACTCATAAACCCTGAATTGTTTTACCTTAGATAAACATCGTAACA